TGAAGCTGCACTTAAGCCTGAGAAGGAAAAAAAGGATGTCCAGAAAGTTTTAAAGCTGCTACCAAAAAAAAAGATGAAGTTGACTCATACAGCAAAGTCCTGTCGGAAAAATAACAAAGATCTGTGGTACTGATTTAGGTATTAAAATCCAAATACTACTATCACGACCTCATGCTGAAGCAAATGTGTGCAACAAGCGAGCAAACGATACTTGGTTTCACGACCCGGTACAATTCGGGTAAACTTCTTACAATCCTCAGCTTTCATTATTGGAACAAACTTGGACTAACGATATATGGGGAACAACATGCCATAACCAGAAGCAAAAAAATGAATAATACAAAAAAGCATTCTGTAAAAAAAAACAGCAAAATCCACAGGACGGTGGGGGACGGGAATAGAGAGACAAGGGGAGGGGAGGAGAGGATGGGACGGGAGGAACAGCCGGGAAAGAGAAAAGGGTAATTAACAAACCGATTGCCATAACGAAATAAATCTGAAGCACTGACGGTTTAGCTCGCTTACTGCACAGACTGTTCCTAGTCTTGCCGCCTTTGGCGTACGCGCCTAACTTTAGGCGAACTGTGTTCATCGTCATTACTGCCCTTGCCAATGTCATCACCTGATGCGTCACTAACTTTTTCCTGAAAAACAAGCATTCATTCGTTCCACACTGTTGGGAGCAAGTGATCCTGCTCTCCCCTTTCGAGAACGTTCCAGCGCACAATCCGGATCTGGAACGTAGATCGACTAGAGGAGTTTAGGGCAGTGTGTTGGTGATCAACAGGACTGTGCGGCCGACACAAGAAGGATCGACATCTCCCCCAGCAGCAGTTTCAACAGCGTCTCGAGGAACGTGGAGTCTGAAGGCCTTACGGACCGTGCTGACCGTGGTACCCCGGTCAGCACCAACCAAGGAATCATAGACTCGGAGCTCCGTAACTACCAGTGTTGATATTTTCTGTTGGACCAATAAAAATCGAACTCAATGTGTTTCGCAACGAACACAATACACAGTAAGCTCCTTAATCACTACTCCATGCTAAGATATCTTCGCTTTACCATGGGGTATTCCACCCAAAGACAAAGCGGACAACTCCCTGTTCGAAGGACGATTTAGAAGCAAAAGCGTCTAACCTCCTGACAACCGTAGGATCAGTTTTACTATAGAATCGAATGAACGTACCACTGAGAAATTCAAACTGTCACGCAGTCGAGATGCTTATGAAATTTAACTAGAATCAAATTTCCACTTCTGTTGCATTCTATAAACTGGACGTACCCCATCGCGATGTATACGACGAGCAGGCGACTGAGAGGACGTACGTTTCTCCTGCATATTACTCATATTCACATCGACTGCGTCTGGCTCATGGGAACTGTGCTCCGCCGATTCATCGTCGTCACCGACAAGGTCCGGCACATCGTCATCGGGTTGTGGCTTCAAATAAAAATATAAATTTCTTGGCTAATTCAAAGTAGAATCTCATATAAATATCGTTCAGCGCAAAAAAATCGACATTTGTTAGAGTTGTCCGTTCAACCCGGTACAGTCCTAACACTTGCAAATAAGCGTTAAAAAATTCGGAAGAAAATTTAAATGAACAAGTAGGTGACAAAGTACCTCATCAGTTTTCTTATAATCCGGTGCAGCGGAGGAACTTCTGCGTCCGAAACAAACGATGGCAATAATGATAACAGGAACCAGGATTCCAAGCACATATACAGCCCATAACCACGGGCGCTCTTCGGTTGCTGCCACAATTTTACTAAATATTCCCTGGCTCGGTGTTGAAGCACTTTCATATGCCGCTTCCTATAAAAACAGAGATGTTCCGAAATAAGAAATGTTCTTCCTGTGAAACTGATAGTGTGTAGGATCCATCGTGACCATGCAAGCAAACGGGACTTACTAAAAGCTTGTCCAACGAAAATTATGATCATATTCACTTCCATAAGTTGCACATATTTGCTCAGTAGCGTGTTAAAAGTGCACCCATACTCTCTTTA